ATATTTATTTAAACAACTACTTAATTCAAATGATTCATGTAACACTAACATTGATATTAATAACTATTTTTATAATTTTTAATATTAATTAATATTAAAAATATAAAATAATTATATTTTTAATTTGTAAAAAAAACCCATAGATAGATAAAAACAGGAGCAGTACAATTTTATGTGTTATTTTTTTTAATGTTAAAAAGAGTCGTTGAAGAGAATATTTCACCCTTCCAACGCACATTCCTTTCCGACCTATTTAGGGCTCAACCACTATATTTATGGGAGTACATAAATGTTATTTAATTTCGATACAAACTAACGTTAAAAAAGAAAAAAAAAGTCAATACAAATTACAAGTAATTATAATGCCCACAGTACCATTGAGCTTTAAAAGCTATTTCAAGGGTGCAGTTTTTTTAATTTATAGTTTGTCTTGAATGAAAAACATCAGTTTTTTTCATAATATTTTTTTAAAGCATCAGTTTTTTTTTTTAACAGGGGAATTTTAGGAGAAGGGGATTGTAGGGGTTGTGATTTGAACTCAAATCAATATGTCCATCGTACTCTTTCAAGAGGATGATCATTAAGCCACAAAGGATTGGACTTTAAACCATTAGTTTTGGGTATAAAAAAAGCTAAAATTTTTATTATTGAATTTTCTTGCATCCCTCATTTATATTGATAAAAAATAAACTATTCACATCAAAATACTTCACTACTTATGGGAAAATCTTTTATATATTGAGAATGTCAGGTACAATGTCAGTAATATCTACATTTATTAATGTAGCAACACATTAACACCCTAGTTATAATTAAAAAATTAATTTATTAGAATTTATTCATTTTTCAATTACAAGTAAGGGATTATTACTTAACTAAACCTTTAAATCCAATTATTCATCTCTCAATCTTAGTGTTTGTATTAGTTAATTGAGAATTCAATTCTCACCAACTATTTGAAAAAAATCCCCAATCCCTTATAATTCCCCTTGCTCAAAAAAAAGAAGAGTAGGGACCATTGCCAAGGTTACAACTTTTCGTCTCAATGTTCATGAAGTATGAAGACTTATGAAAGGTAGCACTTACCTCCCATTGAGGCGTGCCCCACTAACTAGCAAGTAGCAACTGTCCATTGTGAACTTTGGTTCCATTTCCGATTGAGGGGACCGGATGCCCATTTGGGAATTGGGATTACCACACAACTAGACAACCTACAAATAAGCCGAAAATATTAGTGCTCCTTGTACTTATGTGTATCTAACATAACAGACCAATGAAATACACAAACGTAAAATATCAAAAGGTTCGAAATAATGGTATCTCTCTCATTATGATTAGCCACCCATTATAAATACAATGAAGTGATTATGTTTACTTCAATATCAAGACTTTGTTAAAGACACTAGATTGTGGCTGTGGGTATAAGTTTTTTTGTTTTTATATGTTATTTATTTTAATTTTGTTGTCTTAATTTAATTATATATATTTTTAAGCAATGTTTTTTTTTATGGAATAATGATAAATGGGACTAATATTTGAAACGAAAATTTAGAATTAATGACATAATATAAGTCAAATCATTTAAATTATTAAAATGTGAACATTATATTATTTAATAATTGACACTATTATTTTTTTTCAGATTTGTGATATTATATACATAAATTAATTTAATAACATGACATACATCACGTCGTTAGTCTTAAATTTTTATTTAAAATTTCTCTCCTCCCTATTATTATTCTTTCTTATGGCATATAAATAGTAATTGGTTTTTTTTTATAAAATAAAACTGTTTAACAAGATTTATGTGAAGGGAAAAATTTTTAAATTTTTATTTATGTATTATAGAAGAGTATATATTACCTAAACATATATGCATAGTTAAAGTACCATAACAATTAAATTAGAATAAAGAGGAACTGGACCTTTAGGTTCAAGTGATTTGTTCCCAATTCTTAAAGCATTTGAATTAGTTGGTCGGGGTTTTAAACTTTACCAATGCTTTGAAAAATCCCCCTCTTCTAATCTCTCAAATTGTAAATTGTTTAAAAAAGATAAATAATAAAGAGAGTATAAGATATGTTAAATATATTTAATATTTATTTTTAATAATTATTTTATGTATTTCACTATTCTAGGGTGTAGCACATTCAAGTAATTATATAATCATTTATATATAAGTAATCTCTTAAAAAATCCCCCTCTCCTAATCTCTCAAATTGTAAATTGTTTAAAAATAATAAATAATAAAAAGAGTATAAGATATGTTAAATATATTTAATATTTATTTTTAATAATTATTTTATGTATTTCTAAGGTAGTAAAAAGACCAAAAAAAAAAAGAAAAAAAAAACCTACAACTAAAATACTATGTAACATTCTCAAACAAAGCCTAATTCTTTCATAGTCAATTGCAAAAGTGTATCTCTCACGTCAGTCTAATATATTTAAAGAAAATAATTTTAATTAAGGGATTATGTTGAGATTATTTTTTTCTTTATTGAGTTGTGAAGGAAGGTAATTAGATTACACAACCCTTTTCTATCATGTTACTTATTTTACCTCAATTGCATGCTTATAACTCAAATTTAAGGATTTTTACTTTACATTAAAAAAATTTTTTTTTCTAAACCACTTAAGTTGTTGAAAGTTGCGTCCAGATTCCAACCTTAACCATGGCCTATAAAACCTTGTTTATCAATGCATTCGAACTTTGAAGGTTTGTTCATCTCAATTTTCAATGAGGTGTCTGAATTATTATTATGGACCTATTATCCATCTCATAGATAATAGAAAACCTTCAATACAATCTATCCCATATTGAAACGTGGAACGTAGTCTTGACCCATGGAAGCCACCAAAGTACTTGGCCCAAAGACCAAACCCATTAAAATCGATGACGATGCTAAACAAGATGGATTACTAACGGGCCAGGCTACAACAACCTTTTTCGGACATTTTGTATTGCAGAGCCGGAAAGGAAGAAGAGGAGGGATGGGGTGCAGAACAGAAGGAAAAGCAACGACGACGTGGCCGACGGTCAAACCCAAACAGAACCTCCTAGTTACCCGCTTCAAGGATACCGATCGCTTCGCCGTACGTTTTCCCATTCAAAGTTTTCTTTTCTTTTCTTTTTTTCTATAATTTGTTTAACTCGTTTTATCTATGCAGTCGTGTCCTTTATGTGTATTCATGGTAGTAAATTTCTGCTGCTATTGTTTAGGTCGACGTTGGCAAGGATTTGGGGTGGTAGTTATAATCAATTGTTAAGTGATTGCAATTATGCCCACTTCCAAAATTCCGGGGACGACTTAAGGCTACATTAAAAGTTTGATTTTTGAAGTAGTTTGGATTATGGGTCTTTGTAATTGTAGCATGATGTTGATTATATGGATTGAATGAGATAAATTGAGCTCTCGTTTGTGTTATTAGCATTTTTAAAACCTTGAGTTCAAGTTCTAGTAAGGATTTATGTTGAATTATGTGGGAAAAGTGCTGCTTCAGAGGGAGTTGTTGAGATGCCAATTTTTGGATTTGTTTGTATGATCTTAGTTCTTCAACATCCATAGCCTACCATATTGCCGGAGAATGGAGTTTAGGATGCGAGGTGTTCAGAGACTCAGAGAAAGTAAATTAGTTATGGAACCCTTCTATACCTTTCTTGGCCTTTTGGCTATGATCAAGTGTGGTTATGGAAACCTTCTTGGATGAATGACAGAAAACTAGACTAGACTTGTTTTTTTTTTCTAAAAAAGAAGAAGCATTGAATGGGGTTTGAGGGAGAAATCATTGTCACATGAACTAGTAAAACATGAATGACTAAACTGCATGTATGGCAGTATTACAGAAATTGAAAAAAGTGGGGCATGGAGAGTGGTTATTATGGTGCTAGATAAAGTGAATGGTAACATTGGCTACATACATTGTGATGGTTTGTTTTGCTAATCCTGTTCAAGGTATTAGGCATGACTTGGATTGTTTCTGTAGCAAATTATGTGGGATTCAACGTGATAAGAAAGTGTTCAGTACCTTCATTTTAATAAAGATTACTTAATTTTCTGTTCATATATGTTACTTAGGAAACTACTTGTTCTGAAACATTATGTTGAATTTTGCCGATGGTAATCTGTCTGCTATTTCTAAGATATTCAGGTGCAGAATTTCCTCACACCTGCAGAATCAAATGCATTCATTGATGTTGCAGAATCAATTGTGTTTGCCCACCAAGTCTCAGTCCAGTGTATGGTGAACCTTATTGAGACAAAGGTAGAATATCTGTGAATGATCCAGCTCATTCAGATACAATATGGCAGTCTGGACTCTGCAAATTATTTTCTGATAATAAGATTTGGGAGAAGGTTGCTGTTGGCCCAAATCCCAACTTCAGATTTTACTGGTTTGCTACTTGTCTCAAAATTTTTACTTAATATTATCCAGTGTCAAGGAATAGCGGAAGTTCAAAGGTTCATAGTTAATTGGTGTTAGATTGTCGAGCTCCAAAGTAGCACATGAAAGAATTGTACTCTCTATAATGAGTTTTTAAAAGGGTCTCTCTGTTACTGTGACTTTATGATATGCTTCTTTAATTGAAAAGTGTTGTAGAACTTCTTCTTGTCTTAAATTTTTTCTATAAACAATCCAGTTTTCATTTGAGCCTACCGTGAAGGATATTTTAACTGCCATTCTTCCAGGTACAAGCCAGGTCAATAGTCTGGATGGCATATTGATGAAAGTGTTGGTCTTGGAGGAGGGAAGCACACCCATTATACTTTGTTAAAATATTGAAGTGGTGTTTCTACTGGATCAGAGCCCATAGTCGGAGGGGACACTGTCTCCTATGGTTCAAGAGATAAGTGTTGTAGGCTTGTAGCTGAGGTATAGATGCTTTGATTCATATCCCGTTGCTCCCATTGCATTTGTTCTCCATGTTGCTTTTAATCTTTCAGAGTTTGTGTGTTTCTTCAGACCTTAATTTTCATAGTCCATCGTCCATTGATTGCAATCCGAATCCTGGAGGTGGCTCCTATTGAAGGAATGGCCCTATTGCACATTCATGGGGGGACAAACGCATGTTGCCTGAAGCTGGAAACATTTCCAAGGGCATCATCAAGTGTGTCTTCCGTTCAGATGTAGCTTTTGCTTGAATGCCAATAGATTATGATCCTTATTCCCTTTCCTTCTGATATATATACTAGTAGCCCTTTTATTCATCCATATCTTCATGGCATCTCTGCTTTTGCTGAAGTGAAGCTAAGCTGTTTTTTTTTTTATTGTAGATGAACATTGAACAGTTTCTTCACCATATCAGAAAAAAAAAAAAAATCTGGAAAGAGATAAAAATTCCATTCTATTGCTCTCTGGGTTTTTTTTGTTTTTTTTTTTTTTTT